TTTCTTGGGTTGTATTTCCTTCTAGTATCTTCTGTAATGCTGGATTTGTGGGTAGGTATTGTTTAAATTTTTTTGTCATTAAATATCTTGTTTTCTCCATCTATGATGACTGAGAGTTTTGCTGGATATAGTAGCCTGGGCTGACATCTGTGTTGTCTTAGGGTCTGCATGATATCCTTCCAGGCCCTTCTGGCTTTCATAGTCTCTGTTGAGAAGTCAGGTGATGGGTTTGCCATTATATGTTACTTGGCCTTTTTCCCTTGCAGCTTTTAATATTTTTTCTTTGTTCTGTATATTTACTGTTTTGATTATTATGTGGCAGGAAGATTTTCTTTTCTGGTCTAATTTATTAGGTGTTCTGTAGGCCTCTTGTATGCTTATCGGCCTCTCCCTTAAATTGGGAAAATTTTCTTCTATGATTTTGTTGAAAATATTTTCTGGGCCTTGGAGATGGGAATCTTTTTCCTCTATTCCTATTATTCTTGGGATTTGTCTTTTCATGTTGTCTTGGATTTCTTGGATGGTCCATGTCAGGAATTTGTTAAGTTTAACATTTTCTTTGATGGATACATCGATTTCTTCCATTGTATCTTCCACACCTGAGATTCTTTCTCCCATCTCTTGTAGTCTGTAGGTTATGCTTACCTCTGTAGTACCTATTTTTTTCCCTAAGTTCTTCCTCTTCATGATTTTCTTCGTTTGTGTTTTTTTTTAATTTTTCCAATTCTATCTTCAGATTTTGAGCCATTTTGTTGATTTCCTTCACCTGTCTGTATTTCCCTGTTTTTCCTTCAATCCCTTCAGCTGTTTGAACATTCCTCTGTTTCTTTCATTTCTTTCAATGAGTTAATTATTTCCTCTCTGAAGGCCACAAACTGTTTGGCTGCATGGTTCTGTATTTCTTTATGGATGGCCATAATCTGTTTGTCTTTATTGCCCTCTATTTTTTTACCCATTTTATTTGTTTCCTCCATTATCCTCCATTATGTTTCCTCCATTATGAAGACATAAGCATAGATGTAAGGTTACCTTCTTGAATTTCACTTATGATAGGGTGTCCAGGGCTACTTGCCCCTGAATAATTGGGTTCTGGTGATGCCATATTGCTTTGTCCTTTGTTGGTTGAGCTTTTATGCTGGCCTCTACCCATCTGACTGTCACAGATGTTGGCTATTAGTTTCTGGTGCCTTCTGAAATCCTGGGGTGGGGAGAATCCCCCTAGCAGGAAGATGGTTGATCCTGAAGGAGGCCTCCTCAGCTTTTTTAGTATGGTCCACTGAATGGCAGTGCTTCTCAGGAATTGCCACAGCTCACCTCAGGCATATGCAACTGTGTGGTAACTATGGTCATTGGTAGTCAAGGGGCTGTCCTCTCAGCAGAGAGTCCTGGAGACAGCTGTCCTGCCACTGGGTTTCTTGCTCTGAATTTAATGAGTTGCTGCTGCTGCTACTGCTGCTCTTATACAGTATTTTCTGGGTGCAGCCCTCTTGATGAACCAGGAAGACCCATGGTTTGGTCAGTTTAGCTAGGTATAACTGTTTATACCTTGGAGCAGTATCTGGGGGCTAATCCTATTAGATTTGTTTCTAGGTATTTATATATTTGGAAACAATTTTAAATGTTATTTAAATTTTTCACTTCTTCATATATACAAAATTTATGCATGCTATTGACCTGCATCTACTGGCACTCCCAACTTCAGTTATCACTTCTAGTTACAGAGTCTTCATGATTTTTATGAATATAATTACATCATTTTAAAAATACAGTTTTATTTATTCTGTTCCAGTGGGGTTTTTTTTCCTGATTCCTCCGATTGAGACTGGTAATAAAATCTTGGTAGCAGGCAGGGTAGGCATTCTTCTCTCAGTGTTGATGTCCAGAAGAAAAGTTTCCAATAATTTGCCTTTAGTAACATTTACTATATTTGTATTTGTTCGATTTTGTTTGTTTGTTTTTTGTTTTTGTTTTGTTTTGTTTTCTGAGACAGGGTGCCAGTGTGGAGCCTAGGTTGTTCTGACACTCCCTACATAGACCACAGTGATCTCAGACTCATGGAGATCTACCTGCCTCTGCCTACTGACCTCATCTGGCTACTGTATGTTTTTGGACATGCTCAAAATGCCCTTCCACATTTATTTGATAACATTTTATCCATCAGCATGTGCTGGCCTTTGCTGAGTAAATTTTTCTGTACCCGCTAAGATTACTCGTACTGTTTATCTCCTTTATCCATAACAGTGGTGCATTACAGTGGTCAAATTTCAAATACTGAACTGCATTGCATTAGAAAAAGTAATTCATATACATCTCACATGTATTTGGATTTGGTTATCGCTAAGAAAAAGAAAGCATGTCCATGTCTGACTATAGAGGGGCTTGTTTTATCATTTCTGTCTTACAATGTCCTTTTGAAGTTTGGATGTCATAATCTCTTCAGACCTGCTGGCACCCACATGGTTTTTTTTATATGTTCAGTGCATTTACAAGTTTATACATTTGTTTTAGCGCTCATGTAAAAATTTGTGATCATTCCATATGTAAAATGGACCTTTATAATACCTTTATCTAATAGATATGATTGATCAGATTTTATATGCTCTTCAATTTTTAATTTAAATGGGATTTTGCATTATTTATCAAATGCAACAACATTTTTTCTTATAAGTTTTTAAGTGTTTGGTTTGTTTAAGATTAACAAGACAAAAATAAATGCATTGTGTAACAAACATGGTCACCTAATCAAAAAGAGCCATGGCCTACTAGTTCACATCATTTTGTCACCTGAATACATCCAAATTTTAATTTTACCAAATACGTTGTGCACACTCAACATACACGCAAATATGTAATGTACTTCTAGAGTTTAAATTGTTTGTACAAGGGAGATAAAAATAGACGGATGAGTAAATAAGAAAAAACAAGAGTGCAAACAAAGAATAAAGGGAGAAAAAGAAGGGTAGTCCAAAGCAGCCATTGTATGTGAAAAAAAATGTATTGGTAAGAAGTGATTTCCTCATGAATTTTCTGTCCTTGCACTGAGGTTTACATGCTAAGTGGAGGAGAGAACAGCCAAGGTTAGCGATAGTAATTCCAGAACATTAAACACATGATAACTAGAAAGGACATTGTATCTGTATCTATATCTATATCTATATCTATATCTATATCTATATCTATATCTATATCTATATCTATATCTATATCTATCTATCTATATATATATATATCACCTATATCTCTATCTATACATATATGTTGTAATTTATGACCAGAATTAATGACCAGAAGAAAAAAGAGTAATAATATTAAACAATGGTTTAGAAAACCTATTTTTTGAGACAGGGTCTATCTAGCCCTAGCTGGCCTGGCATTCACTACATAGACCAGGCTGACCTCCAACCCAGTGATCCACCTGCCTCAACCTCCTTAGTACTGAGATTGAAGGACTTTGTCACTAAGACTGGCTTCTCTTTATTTTTAAAGGGTTTCATGCTTTCTCTCTTTTTTCTTCATGTCTATTGCTCTGCCTTTGCATTATTGTTCTCATGAATTTTAAGATGCCTCTATACAGTCAAAACTGGGTCACTATTCCTTTGTAACCTTTCCTGTTATTTTTTATTTCTTGACACAGTTTTAAATCCCCTCGGGATTGTTTTCCTTCGGCCTAACTAATTCCACTAAAAGTATTTCTCTTGGTGGTTATATGATTCAATTACTTCTCTCAGTTTTTGCCCAAAAGCTTCGCCACTGAACGGGCATGTGCTATTAATTCATTTACAAATGGGAATATTTTTTCCACCAATTTAAAGGCATATTCTTTAATTTCATGACTAAGGTTTAAAAGTCAGTTTTTAGTTTTACTGGTGCTCCTTTAAAATAAATACATTATTTCATAGTTACTTAAATATTTTTTCCTGTCCTGAACCTTGTTTTAAGCAACTTCTCATGACATGCATAAGGGTGATTTGTCTCTTACAGGCCCTGATTAGGTTTCTCTGAATATCCTGAGCACTCAAATACTCACCAGTGGTGGAAATTGTCAGTTGTTATCTCTTCAGATATTGTTTAGCCCTTTCCTACACCCCAAATCCCATCTCTTATCCCTTCCATCTCCTGCCAAAGCCCTTCTTCCAACAGGTCTACTTCCCATTTCCAGATTTTTCCTGTGTGGCTTACTGATTTTCAGGGTTATTTTTCACAGTTTAAAAAAATTGACCAAAAGCCACATTTCAAGATGAATTTAACCTGCCAGTAATTTGCCTTTTAACTCTTTCTTAGCTTTGGCAAGGGGAGTAATTAGAATTAAAAAAGTACAACTACTTCATTTCACATAGACTAATAGCAGATTTAAGAACAAAAAGAATATAATAAATGCTTTTCAATGGCTCATTTTCTGCTAAAATTTCAAGAAGGTTTGACGTAGTTTTATCTAAATACACATGATGATTTAGAAATCAAACATTCATTTCACCACGCTTATTGAACACTACAGAATGTTACAAGTTCAAATCAATAAATATGTTACTGTTTCAATGTTTTAACAAACAAAATAATACTCATTATTATTTATCAGTTTAACTCAAAGTGGCTGAATGATACACTAAGCAACAAAACAAAAATATGTAAGACCAAAAATAATTTGTTGATTGATAAATTCTACCCAAAAGCACTAAATAACATAAAGTGGAAAATTTGAAATCTACTAATAAACAGAATCAAATGAAATACCTAAACTTCAAAAGGCATTTCCTCATTGAAAGGTGTGAGAAAGGCTTCTGGGAAACACACACACACATTACACTATGCTTGGACTTCTTTGTATGAGAAAGAGAAAGACAAATATGATGGCCCCAGTAACCCCGCCTTTTCCATTTTAGAGACATATGACATAATTCAACTTCTGAGATTAATTATTAAAACAGATCATGTCAAAGCAGTGGTTTCACAGTTTTATTTAACGAATGGGAAGAGAAACTACACATTTTCTCTTTAATTTTTGTCAAATAAGATTTCAAAACTTTAACCACACTACAGAACACTTCAAATCAATAGAATCACTAGCATGCAAGATGAGAGCATTGTCATGAATTTTGTATATTCATATACACTTTAAATTTTATAACTTGGCTATTCAGGGCATTTAGCCTGGTAGTGAACACGACATAATGCTGCTTTTCAGTCACACAGAAAGATCCAGGCAGCATAAGTAGTTTTTAAACAGTCTGCCTTTGAAAACATGAAATTACATGGAAAGAGCAGGTGACAAGAATATACACACAAATTCAAGCCTTCTTGAGATCAGTAAAATGTCTCAGAATATCATCACAAGTTTCATTCAAAGAAAATTTATTTATGCATATGGGAGTATTAATCACCAAGAGATATTCATATGTGAAGAAAAATATGAAATATGCTTAGTACAACTAAAAGCCTATTACCTTAATATCAATAAAAAAGAATCAATCAACACTATAAGGATATAAATAGGTGGATATGTGGAAAACTTCATAGAAACAAGATAACGTAAAGGAAAAGAATTGTACAATACTTAGGAATTTACATCCCTTACCTCAGTGGTTCTCAACTTTCCTAATGTTGCGACCTTTTAATAGAGTTCCTCATGTTTTGGCGACTCCCAACAATGAAATTATTTTCATTGCTACTTCATAAGGATAATTTTGCAACTGTAAGTATCTCTGTTTTCTGATGGTCTTAGGCGACCTTGGTGAAAGGGTGTTTCTTTTCCCAAGGGGTCATGATCCATAGGTTGAGTACGGCTGACTTAGCTAAACACAAAGCTATCCCTGAAGTGGAGATTTTCCTCAAGTTCTCCTCCAGCGTTCTGAACCAACAGACTGGGGATCACGGGTTTGAGGAATTTGAACTCACCAGTCCCAGAGTTCCCTGTCAGACACACCTCATACTGGTAGCTCTGGGATAGAGTCCCCTCACCGTTGATATCCACCAGGTGGCCAGGAACGTGTCCCTCAGGCACAGAGCAGACACCCAGAGAGGCCGACCTGGACCTCCTGCAAAGCCTCACCCCCACGAACAGCAGCACAGACAAGAGAAAGAGTGAAGACACAGACGCCAAGGCAATGACCAGGTACAGCGTTAGCAGGTCTTCATCATCCTGCGCGGGGTCGCGCGCCACCTCTGGCAGAGGCA